TATCAAAAATGGGGAGATTGTTGAAAACATTTTGATGTTTTGATATAACAAATTAAGTTAAATGAATTTTAAAATTTTACAAATAATTTTATAAGTATATTCAATTTAATTACTTGAATATCAAATTATTACTCCAAGTCTTCAAGATCAATTTCAAACTTTACTAAATGTGTAAAATTGTGTTTTATACTTAATATATTTTTGAAACAATTTTCAAAAAGTATTTTGAACCAAAATCAAGCCTAAAATCAATTTTTCATAGTGATGCACCGATGCACCAATCCATGCATCGATGCACCATGAATTAAATTGAACATCGAATGCATTTGATGCATCGATGCACCAGCCATGCATTGATGCACTCTGGCTCTTTTAAAACATCGAATGCACTTGATGCATCGATGCACTCTTAGTGTACCGATGCACTAAGGGTCCAACGGTCAAAATATTTGAATTTTACAGTGATGCACCATTGGTATGCATCGATGCACTGATGCTCCCAACTGCTTTAATTAATTGTTTTCACACTTAAACGGCTCTATTGACTCCACTAAGCATCTCTAACGTTTAGAATCATTTGAATGTGTATTTAAACAAGCTTAGAAGCCATTGATCAACAATAAGAAACAACAATCAACAAGAATCAAGAGAGAATCAAAGAGAAAGCATCAAACCTCAAGTTTGAGCATTTCAAGCCTATTTTTCATTCAATATTCATTTTTCTTTCAAGAACGCTACTTGTACTCAATTGTATTCATTTTTTAGTGTTCTTTTCTTTGTTCTAGAATTGTGCAAACAATCTACCTTGTGAGGATTTCCTTGTAAGTTTGCAAATTTGTAATCTTCTCTTTGAGAAAGAGTGTTCTCAAGAATTGGGAATATTCTTGAGGGAGTTGTAAGGTTATCTCTTTGGCCTCAAAAGAAAGAACAAATTAGTGAATTTGTTGGAAAATCCTTAGTGTGGATAGCTAAGGTAGTGGACGTAGACTTTGATTGAGAAAGTCGAACCACTCTAAATCGATGTGCAAATCTTTTCAAGTTTCTGCAAAAGCTTCCACCAAAACTTTAATTGCCAATTCACCCCCCTCTTGGCCTATTCCATCAATCGATTAACTCAACAGTTTGGTTCTATAAAAAGAACCTGATTTCTCCATGTCAGTGCCCCTTTGGGCTTGCCAGACCACGTTCCTAAGCCCATCATAGGCTTATGCATATCGAGTTAAACTCGAGGGGATATATTCTCTTATGTCTAACAAGATGAATAAATTCCTATGAAAACATAAGGTATATGAATCCCGAGGGCTAATTACTAGGCCTAACACGGAGAATAAATTCTCATTAAGGCATCGTTTTTAACCCTAATTAAATGGGTTCGGAGTTTGGGTATATAGCTTGAAATAAAAGCTTTTAGAAATCTGAAAACACTGAGAGAAAATATCAATACAACTATTTTTTTGAAAAATTATCAAAGGTAAATAAAAAGGATCAAAAAAATTAAAATTTAAACTTACAACTTTCGCTTAAGAAGACTACCTGGTAATCAATTTTTGGCCTAACTCTCTTATGTTCTCAGTGGAGTCATCAAGCTGTCACAATGGTCCTTCGGGAGGTCTCGGGTTCGTGTCTTAACTTGGAATTGTGATAGAATCGCCACCGATCATTTTCAAATTAGGTGGGCACCTCGAACTTACCATTTACCATGTCTACGTCTTATCAGTGATTTGTCGAATTCATTAGTCGTTTAAGATCGAAGAAATGATAAGAACCCTTGAATCGTTCTTTCGGTACCATTTGATTACCGGTGTCTTAATCGTGAAAGTTAAAATCTAAAAAAATTAAATTTGATTCGAATTGTTTACCTTTGACAAACTTTTAATTTTAATTGGACCCCTTACAAAAAAATTATATCAAGGAAAAAAGAAATAAAATATAATAGAATAAATAAAATAAAGTAAATAAAATAAAACACTGCAAAATAAGAAAAATGAATCATGGCACCAATTATTAAAAACATAACAAATAAAATAAAAAGGGATTAAATTGAAACAAAATTGAAAACTAAAAGATCAATTACAAATGGTGACCAAATTGATTTACACTTTAAAACTCCATGGACTGCAAAAATAATTTAAGAATTTAATATTTACAATAAAGCCCCATACTACATAAATTCCCTAATCCTTACTTTTCATCCCATTTGTAACCTCTCACCCCAAAAGCTTCAAAACAAATGCTTTCAATACTCTTCAAACCCTCTCCCAGCCCACGGCCAAACACCTCGTCGGCCCACCGCACTGCCACAACTCTGCCCACCACCCACAATGGCTGAAGCACCATAAAACCTTCATTCAAAAGCCCTTTCTTCCCAAGCCTAGATTTGTCCACCAAACTCACATGCAAAGACCCTTGGCCTAGATCTAACCGAAACAAACTAGGTTTTTTTTACCTTTGATGGTGATGACTCTTTGATTCCTCGTGACTTTTTAATGTTCTGATAATCATCCTCGAAAGTTGTGTCCCTGTCTTCTTTTTTTAGTGGTTTTTTGGTTCCAAATGATTCCCCTATCATCGAAAGCTCATACCCATCTCTATGTTTTCTTGCAGGTTTTTATGCAACTTGGGATGTTCTTTTTTCCTTTTAAATAAGGGACCTCATCCCAGAATTAACGGGATTATTTTTTGATTTGTTTTGATTCTTACCATTTTTGTTTTCGCATCTTGATTTTAGTGTTTTCTCATTGATTTGGTTTCCTTTGGTTCCATATTCGAATCCACTCATTTTGGGTTTGATTGATTCAATGTTGTTGCTATTTTGGTTCTAATTTGGTTTCCAAAACTATCTGGAATGGCTTGAAAAAGCTTTTGTTCGAAGTGTTGGGAGTAATTCAACCATGCGTCGGTCACTAGCTGACGATGACCCTTGATATGTCTCTTGGTATGATTGTGGTCGTTGGATCAAACATACCATTTCTTACAGTCATCATTTGCATGCGCATGTGCCTTAGATTTTTTTTAGGGTTTTACAACCCTTGCATCATTAAAACTAGCCATTGATTTTTTGCCTTGATCCGATAGCTCCTTTTTTAGCGGCGCTTGACGAAAATGACAAAACCCTAGGGCTTTGGACCTCTTCTGGGCTTGGTAGATTCGACCTTCTTGGTCAGGCAAGCCTATATGCTAGACTTCATGATCCCTGCTGGACCTGGACATTGTTTTGGACTCTTTTGAATTGTCTGGATCTTCTTGAACCAGACTTAGACATTGGACCGCTTAACCCATCTTGAATCGAATCTGAAAATTAAATAATAATATATTTATATAATATAAATAATATATTATAATATATATATCCAAAAACTATATTATGTATACTATATATGATTTCAAAAACTATATATTATATATTTTTTCACAAAAATACATATTCTAAAAATATTAGACTATATATAATATAAATATTGGAATATATAATATAAACATGAAAATCCTTGAAGTAACCCTCGAACTAAAATATGTGTCTACAGTGGGTAGTCAACATCGTGTATATTCATCCTCCGAATATCAGTACTGAAAGTGGTCATTTTAAGGTCTTGGTGATTATAAAAACAAATATTGTAAGGGTCAAATGTTATTTTTTTTTAAATAATTGAATAATAATAAAACAAAACCATTATATATATATATATATATATGTTTTCAAAAATAATTCAAATTATTGATTTAAACTCAAAATAAGTTCAATGAAATCAACATAACTAAAGCTAAGAAATCTGACTAATAAACTTGAATAACCTAATCTTAAACTATATTAAATCTAGAATAATTATTTCATTAATTTAATAATTAAAAGTCTAAATGATTCTAAAAAGTATAAAACTCAAATCATCATATGAATCATTCGACTTTTGTAAGATATTACATCATAGTTATTTCAGACTATTCAAAAATAAATAAATTATTGAAATATTACTATTCTAATATAAACCAATATTATTATCCATTAAATATTTGAATTTGTACAAAAAAAAATGCATTAAAAATTATATATCTTATTTCAAATATTTGAGTGTACATAAATCTGAATTTGAGTTTATTTAAAGTTAGAGAATCAAAGTTCGAATTCTCTTAAAAGAAAATATACTCTATTTGATAATCTAGAGTCAAATTCAAATATACAATTTAAATATGCATTAATAATGCAAATTCGAATAATAAAGTATAAAGATATCTATTTATATTTATTTTAAATTCACAAAAATAATAATTTTAGTATATGAATTCATAAATTATTTGAATCTCTAAAAACATAGATAAATATATATATAAATATATGAATATGCAATTACCATCCCTAGTACTAATATGATTTGGGTATTTATTGATATTTAAATTTGACTTCAAAAATAATTAAATATATCAACATTTGTATCCAATTAAGTACTTAATTTGAGCTCAATTTTTAATTTGGTACGTAGATATTAAAAACCAATTGAATACCTAAATTTAGCTTTTAGTTTAAGAATGATACCTGAATTTTTCTACATAGTTCAAATAAGAAATTTAACAAAATATTAATTTAGACCAAAAAATAAAATTTACGTATTAATTTGAACTAATAAATCAAATTCATATATTTAATTTGATTAAAAATCTTTATTTATCGAAATAAACCTTAAAACCAAATTTAAATATATAAAATTCTATAACAAACTATATAAAGCAAGTTTAAGTACTACCGAAGACAAATTACTTTAGTAGAATAAGTCATTAGAATTCTTAAACAAGGTTAAAATGTTTGAATTATTCAATTGTAAATAGAACTAAGTAGGAAGAGTAATTCCATAATAAGTCCTTGTCGTACCCAATCCAATTAATGAACCTCTACAATATCAAATTCAAATTAATTAATCAACAAATCGAATATTATCAGTTAAATAAAATAATAATAGTAATATATAATATCAATCTCTCAGAATTTACTTTAATAAACATAAAGCGAGTAAAGAAGAAGATAAGATCCATATGAACAAAATGAGAGTACATTCTTTGTAGACCCAACTTACACTGCTTTGCTTCTTCATATAAACTACAAATGAGAGAAAATGGCGACAATCACCACACCCCTACAAAACTCAAACCCACCTTATATTCTGCACTCTACCACAAGAATAAATCCAATGAAAAGAGTTTACATGAAAACTGGCCTCACCAAACCTATACTTAAGATCCAAACTACATATTTCTTCTCTCTTTTATCCTTTTTTCCGAAAATCAAAATAACCAAAAACTGTTAACCTAATATTTTCAAGCTGTGCTTAATTGGCATGTATCAGAATTCAGAAGGTATACTTGGCTCTGAAATTCTATAGCAGTGACCGAACTTCTCCGGATGATTCATGGTTAAACTCTTAGTATCCTGTTTTGGGGCGTTTCATTCCACTGGTATTAAATGGAGAAACACAGCCGCTTGGACCCGGACTCTCCTCTCTGAAATTTGAATTTAGCATTGCCAGTTCATGTAATTGCTGCCTCTTGATAAAATCTTGCGACTCTTCCTACATACGCGAATATAAAGTTTAGACATTAGAAGCTAAAGTATTTATTAACAGTTTTAATACAATGAAACCTGCAAGTTTGTAAAAGCATAGGAGAATGCAATGCACATTGTTCAACAGCACAATCATGAGGATGCCAACGTACGACAGAGGAAAGAGCTCACACAAGAAAAAGAAGGAAATTTATACTTAACATATAATGAAGTTTCGAGCCGAATGCCTATATCAAAGTAGCCTATGGCTAACGTACTTTCTAGGAAAAGGAATAGAGATTGTGGTACATACCACAGGTTTGAGTAACTCCTCTATGATTTCCTGCGCCTGTCTAAGCCTTACATCAACAACGTTACCAGGTAAATCAGCCTCGATCAAGATGTGAAGTGGATCATTCAGGTGCTCGTATCCAGTTCTGCCTCTCAGCTTCTCTTCCTTCAGATGAAAAACAAACAAGAGAAACTATTCATTGCATTTTCCAGCCAGTTTCAGCTGAATCACAATAGAGACGAGTAGCCCAAAACTAGAGGCATTAAACCATTACAAAAACAAGAATAGTAGAAACTTAGGTAGCTTCACCTTGTCTGGATCCTTTATTGATCCTTTGCCTCTAATGTATACACGGCAGCCGGTAGTAGCTTCTACCCGCTTTAATGAATTGCCTCTAGGGCCTAGCAGTCTACCGACAAAATTGAACTAAAAACAAAGGAAAAATAGTCTAGAGATCAATAAGCATAAAAAGGTTTGTTCATTCAATTGAAATCTCGGAATTTTAATCCAAAGCACTGGCATTTTTCATATAAGGCTTACTGTTGGATATGTATCAACAGGAATTTCAAGACGCAAAATCCTCTTCACTCTGTATGAACTAGGGCTTGCCGGAGCACCTTGCCAGTCCATCGTCACTCCAGGAGGTCTACTTAATCTCTGTCAAAATAAAAAATAAACCATAGCAAAAAAGATAAGATGGGATAATTCACTCGAGTACTTGAGTTGAGTTTCCAAGAATAACTTCTCAATGCTTCATTACAGAACAAGTACTGAAATGTTTAAAATATATATAATTACAATGTTAACCAGTTGAAATAAGAAAACAAAAACGAACATAAGTTGAATACATCCTAACGACAAAAACTGAACTGATGTCTGATAGATTGCAAATGTATGCATTTCGAGCACCTCAAAAAGAAAATACCATTCTGGAAATCGTAGCATTTTCGACAATAAACAAACTTGATCCTCATCTGTGTTTATTCAAGAGGATAAATCTTTAAATAAAATATTGGACATTAAACTATTGTTTTGCCAGAGCCATCAAACAGATGCAAAGAGGATAGATGAAACTCAAATATTCACCATTTGGCAGGAGTGCTTTCATTTAGTAACAATTTGTCCATTTTCATCATTCTTATTTCATGAATTGAGCTTAGCAACCAAAAAATATAAAAATAAAAAATCACAGTTTTAGAACAGTCACATAGTAACTAAACTCATTATCCTTTCGAGATGGTCTGCAATTTGAAGCACATATAAAATTATATTAACTGATTTTAGAGTTTATTAATCATACTAATAAAGCAAGAGAAACCACTTCAAACTTTATTGTCTATTTGTTGTCTTTATGATGCCATAAGACAAGACTGAGATGTTATGGTTCCCCTTGGCAATTTTTTTTGGACATTCATATTACAATGGCGGTTAGCAGATATAATCTTAGAGCGAATGTAAGAGAATTAAAAGCATAAAGAACTAGTCAGTTTCAGTTTTACTCAAATTGTCAATTTATAGGCATGACACAGACATTGTGAATTTAAACGAAAAGAACTCAATCAACCAAACAAGAGAGAATGTGGATTATATTTATAGACAGACACACAAATATACAAAATAATGCTAAAATGAAAATTTTTAAAAATAGTTACCTCTTGAGGAAGGCTATTCCAACTACTTAATCCTGTCCCATAAACATTTGACATAAGATTTGAAGAAGCCATGGGACTGGGGCTTCTATGCCTCATCGGGTCGAAGTCACCAAACCCTTGGTTGGACATCATTCTCGAGACCCGAAATATCTCTGCATATGGGGACAGATATACAAGAAGGGGGTGGCATTATGAAATCGTGTCAGTGCATGAAAGGAATATAGCATTCAAAATAAAATCAGAAAGAAATAAAAGGATCACGGTGGATAATGAAAGATTATAGAGCACGGATGGAACATCAACCACAAGTAAATAAAACCAATCTCCGATAATAAACCAATTCAAGGCAATACCTATAAAAAACTTAGAATCTGATTTCTGAAAACATACTGCAATATAGAAAGAATATAAAATGGGAAGCAAAAGCTAGACACAAATATATAAAATTATATTCAATGTGAAACAAAAGGATGCATAAGCCTATGAAAAACATTTATCGTCCAAATCAATCAAGATAACTAGCTCGCATTATTGCATTCAGATTCAATATCAGAAAGATTTTCTGAAATTCAAATTTAGCAGAAGAATCGATCTTACAAGTTCTACTCCTTTTGTATCCTAGCATTCCAATATTCACACTTTCTTTTGAAGAAACAAGTAAAACTCCAACAGCAATAAGTTCTCAGAATCCAAAACTTAAGAATCTCTTCGATCAGCATTTAATCAAGAAGGTAGAGCCAAGGCTTGAAATTAGAGCATCATTTAATAAAAACAACAACGATTATGAGTGACTTTCTCATAAACAGCTAATTCAAGTGTTGAGACACTATCGAGAACACAAAGGTGTGGCGAGAGTGAATCATGTTTCAGCATAGACCATAACAATCAAAGAGGATAAACATTAAGAAACACATTTGAACATCCCATCACTCAAACTGATCGAACATGGCTAATTTAAAAGCAGAACAAACCCATAGAGAAAAGAAAAACCTAGATCCAATACGGCGATAGTAAAGTAGCAACCTTGATTTAGCAGTCGGCTACATATCGGAAGAACTTGCAAGAAAGGTCCAAGCTTTTGATGCTCTGCCAACAGCTCTGATAAGTACTGACTGATGATGGCAGGGGGAAAAAAGCACCCCCAAAACCCCAAACAGATCAAAAAATTGTTAAAACCCAAAAAGAAAGAGAAAAATCTGCAAGAAGAAGGATTACGAAGTTAAAATTATGTTTACCTCTCAACCTCTGGAGTGCTTCTAATTTGAGGAGAAGCAGCTCTTGCAGGTGAGAAGTTGGAATTGTATAGTCCAGACATGTTCTTGCCTTCTATGATCAATTCCTTGGAGAAATAAAAGAACCGGATTTTGATTAAAAAAAATTATAGTTGTTGTTGGGAAAACCATAATATATATATATACATATTTAAGAAAAAAAATAACCAATAAAGTGTCAACAGATGTATTTGAAATTTTCTGAAAGTAAATCTTTAATAAAAAAATAATAATTTTCTACAGATTTTCTTTTTACGATTGCATGCTATCAGGTTAAATAAACGTAAACTCTAATATGGGTATTCATTTGACGTATTTGGTTTACATTTATTTAACTTAGGGGCTGTTTATTTGGCTCTGAATAAAATTATTCAGCGTTGAATATTGAACCGTTCAACATTCAGATTGTTTGTTTCTCACTTCTAAATGATTCAGTGTTGATTGATTCAGTACTGATTGATTCAGCAAAACAGTGTTTAATGATTCAACACAGAAGTATTTATTTAAAAAGTTATTATTTAGCAAATCATTAAAATTTCATTAATTGTTAAACAGACTAGCGATAATTAATTGAGTTGTCATAGTAATATACGATTAATTAATTTTTTTAAAACAAATCACTAACACACGGATCAACTAGACTCCAGCCTCTCTTTATGCAGCTGAAGAACAATATCATCTAGTGGTTCCGAAAGCAACCTCATTCCAACAGGAGCTCCTCTTCCCATCACTGTCAATCTATCCGCTACTCCGTTTTGCTCCCTTCGAATATGCGTGATTCTAACAATCTAGTCCCGGTCAAGAAGCTCTTGGACAGCCGAAACTAAGGAACAACAAACTAGCTGTCGTTCTCGTTGTTTAACATCCAGGCAACGTCACTATTGTCCGTTTCATATTCGACTTGTCGAAATCCCAAACACCAAGCATGATGAAGAAGATCATTGCACGCCCAAAGCTCGGCTTTAATGACAAAACATTTACCCAGGCTCCGAGAAAATCCAAACGGCCTTTCACCTTCATAATTCCGAATGAGACCCCCAGCTGTGTCTCATTATCGATCGGATGGACTGCTCGATCGGAGTTACCTTTCACCCAAAACCAACAGGTGGTCGAATCCACTTCATAGCAGGCGAGACATGTCAAAAGAAAGCAACTTTTTAATGATCATTTGCCCTCTCAATTTCATCTATAAGCCGTTTACAACAAGCAAAGAGGTTCTCCTTCTCGACGTAGTCAACATGAAAGACGATCTTGCATCTACGCTTTCACAGATGCCAACAAACTACAGCAAATTTAATTGGCCAAATTTCCATGTTAGAAGAAAACATACCAGGCGTCTGCAAATTTAGTGCGATCCACTCACCGAAAGGGATGGACATGAACACAGTGAGTTTGTCCTTCCTAAAAAATGTGGGCCAGATATCAATAGCTTGTTTGCATTGGCGGAAAACATGATCACCATCTTCAGCTCCACCGCCACAAATGAAATAGCATGAGTCGCTAGCTAGGTGATGCCGACAACGCTCAACATTCGTAAAAATACTATCGTGCGTAACGAGCCAGAGAAAGGTTCTAATACATGGTTTTTAGAACTGGACTGGTTAGCGAACCGGTCATACCACCGGTTTATTGGGCCGGTTCGCTGGTTCAATCAGTCGAACCGGACGACGTCATAATTATTTAAAAAATTAAATAAAAATACCAAAAATAATTTTTTATATCACAAGTTATTTTTAAAGCAAGTCATAACATATATAATTAAAAAAACCATAAAATCAAGTGAAACAAAATGATTCAAATTAACTACAACATAATATTTAAGGTAAAACATATTAAATAATAAATATAATTATACAACTATAATTAAAAAATAAATTTAGGGCTAAAAAATTATAACAAAATGATATTGTTTGGTTTAATTTTTTAAAAAAAATAATCACATGGCTAAGAAACATAGAAGAGCATCCCAAAAATCTAAAGTGTAAAAATATGAGAACAAAACAATCCCACATGACTAAGAAACATAGAAGAGCATCCCAACTAACTTCTATAAATAATAGAGGTAATTTGGCATTCAAAATCATGGAGACTTTTGGTGAGCATTGAGTTAACTATTATTTACTTCAATCAAACTCGAATTTCAGGCTTCAATCGAGCTTCTAAATTTTTTTTGAATTCAAGCCTTTTCGAGTTCAGATATCAATATTATATTTCGAGTTCGAGTTGGACTTGATAATTTTTAGCTTGTGAGTTTGAGTCGAGTTGAGCTTACTTTTAAAGTTTTCAAATTCGAGCTGAGCTTAGCAATACTCGAGTTCGACTTGGCTCGTTTAACAAACGACGTCGTTTGGTTTAATTTTTTTTAAATAAATTTGACGGTTTTTTCCGGTTTTTTCCGGTTTTCAACCGATCCGGTTCAAACGGTTCAGCGGTTCCGGCCAGTTCACTAATAGCGGTTCAACCGGTGTAGATTGTACCGGACTAGATAGCAATTCCCGATTGAACCGGCCGATCCGGTCCGATTTTCAAAATACTGTTCTAATGCGGTACGGGACCTCAATCTTCCAAAGCAGACTCCAGTTAAAATGGTTGTTTTCATCCGACGAAGCTGTAAGGGCTGTATACGCAGACTTGGAGGAGAACTTGTTACTCGCTTCCCATCGCCATCCAGGGACATCCGGCCCCAAGCTATCATGAGCTGGTATGATAGTCATGATTTTCTGAATTATATGTTCAGGAAGGAGGGGTGACAGCCGCTCTCAATCCCAAGATCCAGAAGGAAGAAAAAAATCACTAACTACAGTAGGAGCAGGCGAGCTGGGGCCTTAATAGGCGAAGACCAATCTCTCCTTATTATCCAACCAGTGATCATACCAGAAGTCTGTAGTCTTGCCATCCCGGATATTCCACATTAAGTTCTCATTAAATTCTCCCCAAATATGTTGTAGGCCTTTCCAAAGTCGAGAGCCATTTGCACCCCCAAAGTAAAAGGGATCGGGTCCTCCCATTTATACATCGTTCGAACAATCCTCACCCATAAAGCACTAGGCTTTGTGACTAGTTGGAAGGCGATCTTCATTAAAAAAGCCTTGTTTTGTTTGTAAAGATTCCTCATACCCATACCGCCCTCGGCCGTCGGCTTAGTCATCGTGTCCCACTTCACAAGCGATAAGGCATTAGTATTACTATTCGACTCACAAATGAATCGTCGAATAATTTTCTCCATATCCTCACAGAGGCCTTTAGGAAGCCACGAAGATTGCATGACATAACCCGGTATTGCTTGAAGAACCGCCTTTGCTAAAATTATTTTGCCCGCCAACGAAAGGGATTTTGCCACCCAACCCGAGAGCCTTTCATTCATTTTATCACGCAAATATTACAACTCTGAAGTATTTTATTAAACAAAAGTATCATCATTTTTGTTATAATGCTAATTAGTTGTATTGTTTTAATTTTTTTAATAATTTTATAAAATAGAAGTACTTTCGTATGAACTAAGAGGTGACTTGGATGAAGACTCAAACCAACTATATAATGTAAACACATATATTTGGTGTTTTAATCAGTTTTGGTTAGGAATATCAAATTTTTAGTCGTCTCAAATTTACAGTGTCCATGAATATTAAGATTCAAATTTTTTATCTTGTTTAAAAAATTTAATGACTTATTTCACTCGAACAGGTAATTGTTGGCGTAGAATATCTTGTTAAAGCTAAGGTGGCAAATGGGTCATACGGATCGGGTTAGAGTTAGGTCATTTCGGATCGAGATTATATTAGATTTAGTTTAATTCGAGTCAGGTTGGATCTGGTTCGAATTTAGTTCAAGTGTATGGTATAACAGGACGGGTCAATTTTCAGGTGGTTCAATTTTTGGTCGGCTGATTATCAGATCGATTGTTTTTAGGTTCGAATCAACATCAGATCCATTGATTTTTGATCCGGTTAATATTGGATCAGTTAGATTTCGGATAGGATCAATATTAGATTAGTTTATTTTTCAGATCGGGTCAATATCAGATCGGTTGATGTTCGGTTTAGGTCAGCCTTTGGATCATGTCAATTCGGGTTGAGATGGTTATGAGTATAATCAAGTATATAAGAAATTATTGATATATTCTTATAAAAAAATATGTCTTTTTATTTATTAATCTTATAATTTAGGCTTAATTACAATTTTCAATCGTTCAATATTTTAAATTAAACCATCATTTAGATATAATAATTTGACACAAATACGATCTTATAACACATGTTACAGCTTGTTACGAAAATTTTATATTGATATTGTACGTAAAGTTTATAATGAGAACTATTTTATGAAGAAATAACAAATATTTTTTTATTAAATTTTTTTTTCAATATAAGGAAACTTTTTATTATTTTCATTATAAATCTAATATTAATATATTATTTTCTTTGTTCGAGTTCGATAGGATCGGGTTAAATTCGGTTCGGATCAAATTGGATATGAGTCCATATTGGGTCAGTTAAATTTTGGATCAAGTATGGTTCAGGTTTATATTTGTTAATATTTTTTTTATTAAGCTAAGGTGATTATAAATTAGTATCAGTTCTAAATAATCTCAACCATTTGATAATGAACGCTCAATCACCCTACTGCAAGCCGCTAGTACTCGAACTCGTGACCTTTAGGAGAGACAATGATTCCTTTAACTAATAAGGTAGGTTGGTTCGTGTCTTCATAATTTTTTGAAACTATAATCCAAGTTTTTGTTATATTTTGGTAGTTATTTCTTGCGGTCCTAGCTTGGAAGATTCCTAAGCTCAATGATCAACTGAGACTCAAATCTATGAATGGAACCTCTGCTAGGGTTAGCTCGATTCAAAATAAATTCTATGGAGAGAGAAAAAGGAATTCAATGTCCTCCATATAGGTACATGACATGCACTCCAGTTTTCAGGAACACATTCAACAACGCCATACACTCCGGGCCTAGAGGAACGCCACGTCTAAGATGTCGGTGAAATTCGACCATTGTACATCTTGTCAAGCAATGTCCGTGCGTCGGGCCTCCTTAGAAGACCTTTGTTATTCGGTAAATCGGTACCTAAACACACAGGGCAAACCAGTTTCCGCCTACCTGCTCACAG